TCTTGACACGAGGGTTTTTTCATGACATTAAGATAGAACAACATGTTCTCCCTGAGTTGGCTCTTTATGCATGCATTCTTTAGAGCTTAATCTTACTTTATAGGCGAGTATGTATCCATCTAGAATCTATATGATATATTCTTGTGAATATTCACTTGGATCCTTTGGTATTCTTTCTGGTTGGTTAAATCAACAAACTCCCATGTATTTTTGCTTAAAGGTCTTAGGATCATCATCTAAGTTAATGCAGAAATGACCTCTCTCATCACAGTCTTTTAATTCCGTTCAACTAAATAAGAGAGAAAATCACCTCCTATATTTTTATATTTTCTATCCCTTACACTTCTCCTTAGTTCTTCTATAAAAGATCATATATTATCTCTAGAAGTACTTAGAGCTATTATGGGGTTTTAGTTTTCATCATTTCTTACAAACTTTTCCTCAAATAATTATGCATGTATAAATTCTATGAAGACATATAGGTTGTCCAGTAGTCGATATATCTTGATGTTCTAAACATATCCAATGAATAAATTCTTCATAGCTTAAGCTCCGAATTTGGACCACTTAGGAATAAGTGTTCGATAGTAACACACTCTCACTCTCTTAGATAATGTAGTTTCAGTTTTCTTTCTTTCCAAAACTCATAAGGACTTGTAGGAATCACACTACTAATCCTATTATATACATAGCAAGAAGTTTGTAACGCTTCCTTTACAAATTGTTTAGTAATGTTGATTGGTTCAACATGCACTTGACCATTTTGACTAAGGTTTTGTTCTTTCTTTTATCCAAACGATATTGTTTGAGTATGGTGAATTTCGTTCATGTTTGATACCAATATCTTTATATAATGTGCCAAACTATTAATTAAAGTACTCTTTGCCTTTCTCTACGAATTAATATTTATGTGTTTCTCATGGTTATTTTCTACCTTGTCCTCATAAAGTTTGAATGCATCAATAACTTCATATTTTGATTGCAATAAGTAAATATGTAAATAACGACTTGAGTTATACCACAGAATGTAACAAAATATCTCTTATCTCTTTATGTGTGTATTCAATTTAGTTCATAGATATCTGGATGGATTACTTATAGTAATAATGTAACTTGTTTAACACTAAGAAACGGTTTATTTGTAAACTGATACTTTAAATAGGTTTACAATTGTCAAAACCTTTATTTTTCACTTTTGTCATACCCTTTGTTTGTGTTTTTTGTAATATTTTCAATATTTGTATTTCTGAAACATTTGTTCCATAAAGAAATTGAACACGCAATATAATCAGAAAATTTAATTTCATTCATCTCAAAGAGGTTACATAATCACTACCAGTACTCTCAGTCTCATTGGTAGTACCCCCACTTCCTATCATTAAAATCAAAATATAACACATAAACACATTGCTTGAATCCTTTATGACATGCATTTCCTACATTCAGGTCAAGCTAAGTATTCAATGTGTTTTTATTAATTAACCATTTCTTGTGAACTCCACGTAACCATTTTTTATTACCAAATTACACTTATTATGGTCAAACTCGTTTACTGACACAAGTCCCTTTGAGATCCTAGGAACATTTAACACATCTTGAAGGGTAACTAACTATTCTAGAAGTTTAGTCGCATCATGCCATTGTTGCAAACTCTAACTCTTTGTCCATCAACACATACCATTAGAGTACTTTCTTATATAAGACCATAAGTTTGGAAGTCCAACTCACTTCCACAGACGAGTACAGTAGCTTTGTAATCTATAAACCAACATTAGGTATCTACTTCCCTTGTAAGTGGGGAAATCTAGTTGACGCCTCTAATACTCATGTTTTCCACCAAGTTGGTGAGATCCTCAACAATATTTGTTGATCCATTGGTGGGACTTGATTTATGCATAGGATACTCCTGATCATAGCGAAGATCTCTATGAAAATGTGGTAGTTTCCAATTTTCTCTAGAATATGTGACCAACGTATAGATCATAGAAGCGGTTAGTTAGCAAATTCTTAATGTGGCCAAATGCATAAGGTCTCAAACTCTCTACGTAGAGCTCTCAGCCTTTAAAATTAGAATTTGCTTTCAGATTTGATTCCTTCCCCGGTTTAGGGATATAATAAACTGGAATATAGGGAAATTCAAGGTCCAAAAAAATCCAACTTAAGCGCAACAAGAAAAAAAATTGACGTTTTCAATCTAGCAAGTGTATGTTTAAATGTCGAAGTGGTCCGGTTTGACAAATTCCAAATTCATGAGTCTGGATTTGGCAAAAAAGATTTGAGTGTGCATTTGCCTGTAATTTTTATCATAATAGATTCATTTAAGATTGTTGAATTTCAAAATTATATGTCAAGTCGTCGCAAATAATAAATCTAATTATAATGATTACCGTATTTCGTCCAAAAATTAGATCGGTCATTTGAGATAGATCTGGTTATAAGAAAGATAGAAGAAAATTGTCCATTTATAAAATAAAAGAAATAAAAGTAAAACTCGCCTTAAAGACCATGGATCTGAGGCAGGTTCTATAACTGAACCATTAATGTAACCGATTATAAACTTGCCTTACCGGCTAAAACATTAAGGACTAATACATGGACATCGAAAATAATCACCATATCTACATTAATAAGGATATGAAATCTTTAAATTTTAAGGGTGTTGATTTGTGCATAACAATTTTCGGAAAATGACTCGCGAGGGTAATTACATTTTCGTCTTGTTCACGTTTAGGCAACTTCATTTTTTTTGTACACATTTGACCATTTAACTTGTTAAATGTGTTCACATATTATCATCCATATTACCATTGTCACCTGCTATAACAGGTGACGATGGTAATATTTGAACATATTTAACAAGTTAAATGGTCAAATGTGTAGGAAAAAAAAAATTGTCTAAATGTGAACAATTTTTTTTACAAAGTTCTTAAGAATTTTTGTAATTTATTACAACATTTTTATGATATTTTTTCTATAAGTTTTTCTAATACAATGTTTTAAACTTTGCTTATAATTTTGTTTAACTATTTTTATATTTTCATAAAATTTTAATACAAATGCTTTTAAACCAAATATTTTATAAATGTTTTAAAATTTTCTTACAAGTTTTTAACTTACTAACTTTTTTTTTTACATTTTCATACAATTTTTTTATAACTTTCATACAGTTATTTCTAAACTTTCATTTATAACATTTTTAAAGTGTTTCACAGATTTTGTATGAAAATTTAATATTCTTTTTATAACATTTTAAAATACTTTCGTTAAATACTAGTTTAAAACATTATATTAAAAAATAATTTAAAAGTTTACGAACTTCTAATTAAAAAGTATTAAAAAGTTGTAATAATTTTAAAACATTTACATTATACATATTTTTTTGTTTTTTTATTTGCAAAATAATATTTTCTTTTTATTTTTTAAAAGACCCTCCTTACTTATTGTTATATATTTAATTTATTTAATTTTATTGTTAGATACTATTTACTTTAAAAATATTGTATATGCTTAAAAAAATGAAAAAAATTATAAAAGGCCATATAAAATATTTCACAAAAAAACATATTTATTAATTAAAAAGTAAAGTTTAGAATTGATCAATATTTAATTAATATTTAGGAAATTATGAATATTTTAAAAATAACGTTTGAAAAAAATAATACAAACAAATATCAAAATTAAAATCACTATTAAAAATAGGGAAATGATTTATCATAGTAATTAACTTTTTATTTTGTTCACATTTATGCAACTTTTTTTTACACATTTAATCATTTAACTTGTTAATGTGTTCACATATTACCATTGTCACCTGCTATAGCCGGTGAGAATAGCAGGTGACAATGGTAATATGTGAACACATTAACAAGTTAAATGATCAAATGTGTACAAAAATAAAGAAGTTCTCTAAATGTGAACAAAACGACAAAGATGATTACTTTGATAAGTCATTTTCCCAACAATTTTTAGCAATACACAACAATTTGTGTTTTATGGAGTTGTATAGTACAAACATATAAAACGCAAATTTTATGTATGGCTAAAAAATATTGTGTACGGATCAACATTCAAATTTTAAGCGATGAGTTCCTTTTTTCCGTGAAAGAAAAATAGGTTGTTCCATAAAAAATGTCCTAACATTATTTTTTTTTTTAATTTTCGATCATGATTTGATTTTTACCCATGTGTACTCCAGAAATTAGTAACTTTGATTTTGATCGATAAGCTTTCTTCTTAATGTTGTTATTGAATAGTGTTGTAAACATTTCTTCAATATTTCCTAAAACATTTCTTCATAATGGGCTGAAAAAGTATTGAATGGGGTAGAAATGTGATGGGTTACACCCGGTTCTAGACCTGGGAATATTAGGTGCTGGAATTGGAACGGGAAACGGACCGGTTTCAGTTTACATTTTCAAGCTTTTTTAGTTTTCGGTCCCCGGTTCGGGCCAGGTCCGACCTGTTTGTCCTGTAGTACACCCAAACTGTGGGTAAAACCAGTTTTCTTGCTGAATTATTTAAGAATGCATTCTTTCTTCTTTTTCCTCATTCCTCATTTATGTTTATTCTTGTCATTCATTCAAGGTTTAAATTTTTTTTAGATACCATGTAATCTTTGTGGGTACCACTGTACACTCTTCTTGGAGTTATTAATCCCTATGTTTCCTTCTCTACACGTTTTGTTCATGTTGGTTGTGAAGATTAAGATAAACATTATTGACTAGAAAGCGTATGTAGATTAATAGAAGTTACTTTTGTCTCAAAACCTATTTGATACAATCCGGAAAAAAGAATACAAACTAATTAAAAGACTATAATATAATATCACAAAATATGAATTGCTAGTAACATGTTCTTAAAATCATGATCAAAATCTGGTAATAGCAATGGATGGGAATTATAATGTCAAATGTGTACTACATTTATATGCATTAGACTAGTCTAGAAAATAAGAATATTTTCCAAAAGAAAGGATCTATGCAATATAAGTTCTATTATTCTTACATTTCTTTCTTCTTAGTGGCTTGTTTGTTGTTGTGCATCCATACTTTAAACACTTGTCTTTTCAGACCAACATCGTGGCAGAATTGTACAAGCTCCTGTTCATCTTGCTTCTGGATCTTCCACCCTATTCTTTCTGCAAAATCTTGCATCTTCTCCTTCTGTTCCTGTGTGAATTTCGTTCGAAACCTTTTCTTTGAAGTTTGCGCCATTAAATGCACTCCGGAACTCGTTCTGAATACATTAAGATCTTCACTAGATGATTCCGCCGGTACGCCGCCAGCCCCACCAAATGCCATCATAATAGGCGGCATTGGGTGGTGATAATACCGGTGATGCCGCTGTGCGGGAGGTAGATGTGTAGCAGCTGCCGGAGGTGGTTGATTATGTGTCAAAGGTATTTGAGAAGTGGTCTCGCCTTCTACCTCTCTCCGGTGGAAACTCCGGTGGCATTCACAGGCGGCACATTTTAATGCTTCTGGCGTGCCATCTTCTCCGCTAGGCATAAACTCTCCACACCCATCGAGAACATGAGCGCCCATATTGGCAGCATGATTCCTTAAGCATCCACGATATCGGACCACCACTGCAACCGGCGCTATAGAGGTTGTTGAAGGTGGTGGTGCTAGTGGTGGCGGCTGCGAGGGAGCTTGAGAGCCCAGTCCAGAAAGATTTGGATCCGGATCCGAGTTTGAATTCCTTCCGGGTGTTTCTGCAGCTTCCGGTTGCTCTTTCTGTAACCTGAATCCGCGATACTGGTCTCCCCGATGAAGATGATTTGGGGTTTCATTTATTTTAGTGTTTGAGGTAGAAGATGATTCTTGAGTGGATTGAGGTGGAATATGATAACTTATGGAGTTTCTCTCTCTAGTTTCCATTAGGTTTGACATGTAAACACATGATCCCTCATCCACCAATTCCAGTATTTAAAATTCCGCAAATCCTACTGGAAATCTGGAACATGAGGATCAAGGAATATAGAGATTAAACAGTGTCTCCTACCACCCACCCTGAGAGAACAAAGGAGGCAGACGGGTCCAGTTTGCCCTCCTCTTCATCTCCATTGAGTTCGATTTTGTGTGTGTGTGTGAGAGAGAGAGAGAGAGAGAGAGAGAGAGAGAGAGAGAGAGGTTTATACGCTTATTTACGCCACAATATCTTATACTAGCCTGATATTATGTAACTATTATGTTGAGGATATTATAATTGTTAAATTAAAATACCAAAATAAAATTCAAAAATAATAATACGTTAAGAAGGGTTGATAGCGATTTCAATTTTAAAATTTCAACATTAATCCCATATCAACAATGGCCAAATTAAAATCGGGTGTCTCTTATATTTAGACAGGTTTGAAATTTTAATAATATGCGCTACTTTTGAAATGGGTTTAATTTGGGTTGGCTAATGACTTAGGGACTGTTTGTTTTCCTTCCGACTCAGTCCAGTTAGAATTTTACTCGGACTCAGTCCGAGTCTGTTTGTTTGATTAGGATATGTTAAACATCTGACCCAGTCCATGGTAGTCCATCACAACTGATTCGGTCCTCCAAAAAAATGACGCTGACTCGGTCATTTCCGCCTTCACGTATTTGCCCTTTCTTTCTCTTAGCATTTTGAGGCGATTTCTTCCTTCTCCTTCCCCGTTGAAGCATTCAAGCACTCCTCCCACCTCCAAACTTTGCACCAGATCCTCCCACCTCCGACCAACACCTTCACCACCACCTCGCCTGAGCTCCGACATCCTTCCAGCAGTAAGCAGTAAGAAAAATCTTCTCTATTGATAGTCGCAGGTGAAGATGATCGTCACCAATACAGTCGTTGAAGATGATTGTCACCGGATGTGGGAGGCACAGGTTCACGGCCACAATCTACAGGCAAAGAAGATAAAGTTCCAAGTTCTTACGAGCCCTAACTTGGTAATCTCGTTCATCTATTTATCAATTCCAAATGTTAGGGAGCTTTTCAACTTTTTTGTTTTCCTAAAGTATATACCATACTACCATTGATAGCTGATAATTTATTATTGGCCCTAATTTTATTTTCAATTTCTTGTTTATGTTGGATCATGTGTGTATGAATTTGCAATATTCCTAGATTACTCTCCTTTTTTTGCCAAAAAGTGACCCATGACTTCAAGTTCCACCATTTGAAATGTGTTCATGCATGATGCTAAAGTACAATTATCATTTATCACACTCATCATATTTGTTTCTTTGTATCATGTTGCATTCATATGTTCTCCTTTTCTATGGTATTTGATATGTTAGGCCCTTTGTATCATGTTGCATTCATATGTTCTCCTTTTCTATGGTATTTGATATGTTAGGCCCTCTGCTTTGTTTTCTAAGTTGTAAGCTCAAACAGGTGAGGAAGTGCATCATGAGAGTGTTTTTGAAACAAAAACAAGACACCCATGATGAAACACACAATGACCCATACCGAATAAAAATAAAAACAGTTCACCAATGTGCCTAACTTAACCATTAGCTCCATAACTCTTGTAATGCATGATTGCTACATTTTATAATTGGAATAACAAAAATGGTTGTGTGAGTTGTTTGATTTTTTTTTCTTGATTTTGATTGATAAAAGAATTGAATTTCATGTGTTTGCTGATTGAAGTTTTATTGTGAGTTGTTCGATTTTTTTTTGTTGATTTTGATTGATGAAAAATGTAATGTTATAAATTAAATGGTAAATTTTAAATAAATTATTATAAAAAAATGTTGTCTAAGGGTAATATAGTCAATTTGCACAGTCAGTCAGATATGAAATCAAACTACAAGTTTGAGTCAGAAATTAACTTAGTCAGAACTTCTAACTCAGTCAGATTTGATTCAGTCAGCAACTTTCAAACGACCCCTTAATGTCACTTTTTAGGGAGGATGGAATCATTTCTCTCCTTTCGAAGCTGCCTAGCCACCGAACCCAAAGTAGACGGAGTTGAACCCACCTAAACCAGATGACTCCCAAATTCCTTCCTTTTCTTTTGTTTTAATCTCCAGCGATTTGAGGAACCCCCAAAACACATCCCTCTCAAGTCTCATCCGTCCCGCCATGACTCTTTACTCCCTTAAGCTTTGGTAGTTATTGATTTCTTTTGGTAAAACACAAAAGAAGAGATAACCTATGATAAACCAATTTCAATAAAAAATTTCAATCGATTGGTTAAGTAAAAGAAATAGAAAAATTTATATTAATTGGAATTAACGGATGTAATTTCTTTAAACAATTTATAGTATATTTTTTGTTTTTTTAGTTTCTTGTTAGAGACTTGTTTATAATATTTGGTTGGCAGTTTTTATCAAAAAAATAAATAAATAAATAAACAAATCACACGTTTATAACTATATTTAAGTTAAAAAATATTTTTTTATATATTGTGTGGTTTTGCTGACTTGGAGCTTTCACCACACGGGGTACACCAATGTCTTGGATGCGGTGAAATTGTGGCGGTTCACCGTCATGGACCCACCCTCGTATTTTCTCTAATCTCTTGTTTTTCCTTCTTTCTTCTTCCAACGATCAACAATATTAAAAACAATTAAACTAACAGTCAAGAATTTAATATATATATATATATATATATTATATATATATATATATATATATATATATATTGGTAGGTTTAAATATGGATGGACATATATTGTACGGACGTGTCGACAATGTTATTTTAGTGCTATTCTGTGAGAATGATTAAGAAAATATATTGTTTGGAAATTCGATACGTTTGTGACATCCACATTTTCACAGCTAGAAAAAACCGATTTGTTTATGCTAATTTAAAAATCAGAGTATTCTTTTTGAGAAATAGTATTGCGAAATTTGTTCTCATAAAACATGATAATGATATTATCAAAGCATATCGGAACAAATAAATTTTATTTATATGAAAACATTAGGATATCATCATCAATACAGAAACATAAGCATAACGAAATATTATAAGTCTTATAGTAATTAAACTAGTGACCTAATACTCCTTGAATCTCTCAGCAGAATGTATCTTTCATATAGCCACCTGTGATACAATAAATTGAGTGGTTCAGATTGGGAAACCTTGTGAGTACATAGGGATTTCAATTTCACAATGTGATAATAATGTATAACTCAAACCTGCAAATCCAACTATTATTATTAACACAAATATAGCATATCTCTAAAACAATTTATGCCATCCCGTCGATTCCCACGTATAGATCCTATACAACGATCTTACAAGATCTAGCCTAAAGGATCAATATGAACAACAAATTGACGACGTTGCTTCGGAACTTCCCTGGCAGCAAACGATGATTAATAAAAACATCAAATGAGGGGAATGGAATAAGTTTCACCATGAACCTTCGTTCGTAAAACAAAAAGACAATTAATTCAGGGATGGTTATCTAGATAACTGATCCTAGCAGTGGTCTGACATCGTGAGGTATTTTACCCCAGACTCACCCTATCTAGCAATACAATATCAAACTTTGCCTAGCAGTGGTCTGACACTGTGAGGTATTTTACCCCCAGACTCACCCTATCCGACAATACAAAATCAAACTTTGCCTAGCAGTGGTCTAACATCGTGAGGTATTTTACCCCCAGACTTACCCTATCCAGCAATACAACATCAAACATACCTGGTAGTGGTCTATTACTGACACACTCTATTATGCGGTCTATCAATTTCCCTCAATTACTTCGTGAAAGGAAATGTTGACACATCATGCTCGTCCAATCACTTCATAAAAGAAACGGTGACTCCAAGGCTCTTTAAAATAAAAAGTATGGGGAAATACTAATAAAGTACTCTCGTACGCTCTCGTACCCCAACACGCAATAGTGTCAAAAAGAAGGAATTTGTACAAGATAGTACTTCTGTCACATTATAGTATTCTCGTATGAGTAGGACTCGTACCCTAGAACATAATAATATCGTGGCACAAGCAACACCTAAGACGCAGAGCTTTGAAAAATACTTGGTACTTAGAAAGTACTTTTGTATGTAGAACATACTCCATCAATCTCATCAAACAGAGTTTCTATCCTCTATTCCGATCACACACGTATCCTTAATAAGATAGTACCTAATACCCAACTTAATTGAACTAAGAATCTCTTTTAAGTCTTATTTCATCACTAAGCAAACCTACAATGCTTATAATCAACTATCAATACTAACTCTGTTACGACAATACTATCTTAATTTAGTGTAATATTTTATACAGAGTATTAAGTATTAACATACAATTATCTTCTCATTTATAATACTTCTATTAATATTATCATGTAAATACATCTCAACACATATGGAATCATGTCTGGTTCGCATAGCGTATATCATCAAATATACATATAACACATATTTCCAGATAATAAGCATATAACTCACATATAAACTTTCAACGTATATTTAACACATTTATTAATACTTGTATTAAAATCATGTTCATGAAAGAGACTATGCACTCACTTGTTAAAATGATGACTCGAAATTCGGGCAGTGCTTCGCTTCTAACAATCGTCTTTTCCTTCGTCGAAGCCTAACATTATTATCACTAAATTTTAGTCTAATATTTATTACGGCTAATTATTACTCTAGATTTATCATTAACTCAAAATCTACTTCAAGATCTATCAAGTAAGGATCAGCCAGGCAGGACAATTAGGAGGCAGGACCATTTCGGCATATAGATTTTCTGAAATCCAACAACCAAACCCAACGTGACCATTCTAGACACCTCTCCCGTAAGTAGATCAATTAGTATAACGAATTTGAATCACTGATAAAATCTTGTTTATAGGTTCATAATAATGGTAATGAGCTTAACTCACTTACAAGGGAGTTTAGCGAAGAACCGGGCTCTGCGCTGGCAGAATTTATCAG